AACACTCATTATTTGACATCATCAAAATCTCAAACTCAGGGTCATGGGTTGCAACAGGAGGCAGTTGTAATTGGGGGATAGGCAGCAGAGCAGGGGAGGAATTGGCAAGGGGAATGAGCCTAGGTTGGCAAGCTCTACTCTTGCTTCTACCCCGAGGATGAGGTAGCTGCTGAGTTTTGGGTTGAGGATGTTTTGGGCAAAGGTTGGGAGGGTGCTCTAGAGAGCCGCAACCAGAGCAAGGAATGGGTTTCCAATCATATACAACTTTAAGCTCAACATCATCTCCATTCAAACAAACTGGAATAACATCCGTGAAAGAAGATTTGCTAGAAACCATAACACAAACCCTAGCAAACGTCTATCAGGTCTTACGAGCTGTCAAGGCGTCCACCGCCAGGGGTTGACCAACAAAGCTAACGATTTTGGAAATCCCCAACGGATTCCAAATAGCTAAGGGAAGATCTAGAATTTTTATCCAAATGGGAATGGCGCTAAATTCATCTCTTTTAAGCATGAATTTAGGCGATCATTTCTCTAAAATAAATGGACAGTCAAAGAAAAACCAAGGTCCGCCCGACCAGGTGACCTCAAAATCCTCCGCATAAGTGAATTTAAATAGGAAAAAAACCATCGTTTAGGGAGAGAAGATCAATCGCACAAACCTTTTTAATGGTGTTCTGAAGACTCAAGTAGGTGGTTCTAGGTCCAACAGAGTAGCCGACTAGAGATAAATTCCAATCGAGAACCCCAAGAGCTACGTCTTCAGCCGAGAAAGGGATCTTGGAAGTAGGAGAAATGAAGGAGAGGGAGAAATCGTTAGCTGCCGGGTCTTGATTTGTAAGGTTGGCGATGAAGTTGGGGCCAGGCGGAGCCGAGAAGACAATATATCTAATGCCCGGAAGAGGGGGGAAGTCGGCCAGATAAGAGGAAGACGCCATCGAAAGGGCAAGAGGGGAGGGGGAGGGCCCCGGGGAAGAGGAAGTGCAGAGAAGAAAGAGCACGCCAAAAACCCTAGCAGAGCAACACTAGGATTTTTTCTCTTATCCGCAAATTGCTTCAGTGACATTATGATCCATTCTTCAACCCTATAAAAAATAAAACACTTTATGTCAAATCATTATATGCTTTCATTAGCAATAGCTTAGCAAAAGTGGCAAGCTAGACTTTAGTTAAATTTGTAGATTGATTGAACATTTATTTTTTTTCGCTAATTTAATTAGTTATTTAAATTAAAAAATCTATATTCATTTCTAAATAAACAAGAGATATTAATCAGATAAATTAAATATAATGCAAAATAAATACTTCGGAAATGTTTGAAAGAATATAAAATAAATGCAAAAAATAACTTTTTTATCTGAGCCATTTCAAATACATTGAAATAGGTCAAAGGCGGCAAGCAATGGGTGGTGGCGGTAAGTGGTGGGCGGTAGTGGACCTGGTGATAAACGGTTGTGAGCCAAGACAGTGGCAGGCAGGGGATGCGAGGTAGGTGGCAGGCGGCGACAAAGGCTATAAATTTATGGCGTGTTTGAAACTCGCCCAAATGTGAAGAATTTCAAAATTATCAAAAGTGTACTAGATGGTGAATTCCAAATGCTTCAAAATTTTACATTGCATTCATTTTACTTCAAATTAAACATCAATATTCTTAAAACCTCTTAAATTGGAATACTTTACAGCCCTTTACTTTAAACCAAATAACACTTAAATAGTTTGATAGTGTTATCTCCAATTTTAAATTATTCATCATT